TAATGAAATGTTAATGTTAAAGTGTTCCTGGTACCTGTCCGAAAGAGAAGAACTGCATACCCAGGGGGCTTTGTGATCAGAGAGGAGATATAACCCCTGGCAAGGTGGCAAGATCACCTGATGTGCTCTTCTTCATCAGGCTCTCCTCCCTGTTGCTCAGCTGGACTGTGCATCTCACCTCAGTGTTATGGTGAGGCCTACCCATCTTTTGGACACCCTCTCTGATTGTACTTGATTTATTAGCTTCAATTCTAATTATATTGTACTATACTGTGCTATCTTGCATTCTGATACTGCGCTTAGTAAATTAGTTTGTTTCTCCTCAAATTGTTGCCACTGTTTTTAATTATTTTGGGGTCCCTTTTCCGGAGGCATGGATTTTGTGAAATCGCTCCACCCCACTAGTCACGGAAATGGGCTGAACCAGTCCATATAACTACCCTAGCTAACAACTTTGAATCTAGCAATATTAACTAATTTGCATCAGTGATATGTGTCTCAACCTGCTGTATAGAACCATGACATTCTCCACACAGATGTCACAAAGAAATGCAATTACTAACAAACAAACAAATAATAGCAACAAAATAGCTCTGGGATACCAACACCTTTTCTGCAGCCAACTAGCGAGGGAGAGGGAAGTTAAATTGTGCTGTTTATTCTCAGACAATTGCTATCATGAGGTCCTCTAGGAGTAACTAAAAGACTTCTTTTTTGAATGTTTCTGTCAAGACTGAGCCAACAAAGCTAAACAGGACAGTAGAGAAATTTCAGTCCTGGAGACTAGGTAAGCCTGCTGGAAAGGCATGCTTTCAAAAAGACTACACAGCAATTATCTTATTAGTAGCATGCAACAGCACACAAAATTCCATGGGGGAAATTTTTACTGTATATATGTTCTCTGTCTGATAGAAAGCTCAAACGCAGACAGCATTAAGCACTTCTTAATTAACGTACGGGAAAAACATCTGTTTGTTTCAGGACAGGATATTCTGACACTTTGTATAGAAAATCCACAGCTACTCTGGAAAAGACAAACTTTCTGTAGCAGAGCACAGTTAAAGTAAAATAAAGCCTCCTTTACTTTAAAGTGATGGATGTTTTCTATTGATCCCAAGTTTACTAGGTGCACGTTAAATCTTTATATCAAAGACACATCCCTTAGACTTGGTTTAGAAAACTGGCAATGTGGAAAATACTAGCACAGGCTTTCTAGACAGCTTAGCGTCTGCTTAAGATTAATAAACAAAAACCTTACAGTAGATTGTACAGACTTATCTGAAATGCAGCTACATGGTATAACGAGACATTATTTCAGACTGCACTTCAGCTGCCCTTACTAACTATTCCTCTTCTTCAAAGGGAAACACAGAGAAAGATTTTGAAACTTCAAACTTTCAAACATTTCACCAGCACTTTGAGGCCTCGAACGGATGCATTTTACTACTGCCTGTAAAACTCACAGCTCATTTTAACAAGATACACCAGACTTCAGCCTTTTTTATCATCCTATTCCAATTTGCATGGTAATGATAGTGCCCATTCCAAAGGCAGAGATGCTGTTTTATATTCAGTTTCCTGGTACGTCATTTGTGGCCTTCTAATGGATCCAAGAGCTTCTGATCAATTCTACTTACTTTCCAAGCATTTGTGAAGATGCAGTCATGCAAACTTCAGATCAGTGCTAAACCTGACAGCTGGCTGAGAGTTTTCAAAGAATTTTAATTGCTCTTTTGGAACTGCAACAGAACTTCTCATCTAGACCGTCTTGCCAGAATCTTTGAAGCACCAGTTTTCAGATGTGAAAGTCTGAGCTTTTTTTCTCTTCTCAGACAGTTTGTTTGTAAAACACAGCACATGCATTTACAATTTGGTTCCTCTTATTATCTGGAAACAGTTATTTTAAAACAGACAGCATACTGAATTTATCTTTTGTGTTGTCCCCTATTGTGTCAGAATTACACGGCTTACGTAGCTGAATGTCAAAGACAAAACTAGAGCAGTGTGGAACAAGTATTGCTCATTGCCTGTGATTTCATAAATTTTCCCAAAATTGTCTGTCCTGACTAGAAACAGTCTAAATGACAGAAGAACTTAAGCTATAAAGAAGTAAGCAATAAAAAAAATAAAACTCTTTTAGCTACTTTTCCACATTTTAGGAAGAAAATAATCTGCTTTTCTACGTTTCAAACACACATACGATTAAAGTGCTTCCAGATACTATGCCCTACACTAACAATTTTTTATTTACACTTATGTAAATATATAAATTTATATGGATACTCAAATCAAAAAAGGAACCCAACTCTGCATGAGTTAGGCATCCATATCATTTTTTAATAAAGACTTTATGAACCAAGGTTGTTCAAGTCAAAAGGAAACTGGAAAAGCTATGTAAACTGCTTAAAAGCAAAACTAATTTCCCAATGGTATATTTTGTTATGTATCATTGTACTTTTTCAATTTCCTGTATAGGGAGATTTTAGTTGAACTACAAATTATTGGACTCAGTAGGAGATAATCAGATTTCAGTTTGCCTTAAGCTGGAAGTCAGAGTAAGTGATTATCTTCTAGCTATGAACTCTAATTAAATGTAGTCAAGAAATCTAAGTCAAACAGAGATCTTTGAGGTTTTTATGTTTAAGTAAGTAAAAAAGTCAAGGTGTTCTTGTTACTGGATACCACAAACATATTTCATTCTGAGATTTTCCTGGCACTTCTGTTTTGTCATTTGTACTCTTCCTCTACTTCCAATCAAGATACATAGAGAAATAAAATACATGGTACAGACATACAGGAAGTTTCGTTTCACTGTTTCTGGTAGTAGGCTTTTTTCAATTTATTTATTTTTCCTACCAGCTTTAATTCCCATGTAAATGAACTTTTCAATTATGATACGATAAATCTATCACTGATGTAATTACTCTTTATCCAATATTACAGCTGTGAGTGGGTGGGTGACAGTTACAGCTTGTGTTTTCTTTGAAGATATTTCAGCACCACTGTAGGGGAAATCTGAGAAGGTATGTTAATATTTTTTACTTTCCTTCAGAGTAGGAAGATTTTATGTGCATCATGGCCTACCGCCCAATATCTCAGTTGGAGAAGCAAAGACTGCTTATATTGCACATTCATTACATTCAGATGCAGTAGACATCCCGACGTTTAGCTTCCATGCCAAACAAAAAAAAAAAGTAGAAATACTTATCCGAAAAACTCACAGCTTAAAACTATGGCATTAGATCTGTTCCCCAGATTCATATAACTTACAGTAATAAAAAATACTTTGCATTCACAGAAAACACTCTATTTTGTAATATACTGAAAAACACTTTTTCCAAGATTTTTCTTCAGATTTTTACCCCAAACCAGGTCCAGCTGTCATAATCTGGGGAAGGAATAAAAAACACTTTAAAAGTGAAGCCCACACAGTACTGCCTTTAAGGGCTTACCTCTGTTCTCCTTCAAGCTATCTGAAATACCCTGGTTTAACTCACAAGTTACTTCTGAGCTATGTGCAAAACCCAAGTTTTGATTGGAGACACCTCAGATTGCTAAGAAGTCTTACTCTTGAAAATCACATATTTCTTCACTTTCATTCACAATGAATAAATCATAGTGTGTGAAGTAAAATACACATGGCTTTTTAATTTTGATGGAGACAGACATCTGTCTATTCTATTGAGAAGTAATGGGGTTATTCCCAAAGCACAGATTATGCCTTATCAATTTCTTGACTTTTTACCTTTTTCTCCACAATGGAGGTTGACAGAACCTAGACAAAAGAGCTTCACTGAACCATGGTTTGGAAGAACAGAACCTTATGGGACTGTTAACTGTTTCTCAGCATCAACCAGAGCAGTTTGACTGCTGCATTACTGACTTCATTGTTTCAGAATATGTAAACAATATTTTAAATAGGTAGTCTGGCAGGATTCTGGGCAGGATTTTCATGCTTTATTGTGAAATGTAAAGAGACAAGACACTTTCAGATGACGTGTAAGTATCAGCACCTCCTCCACCAGGAAATACTGGAAAGCTGGAAATATAAATTCATTAATCTTTTTATGAGAGTTCAGATCAATCATATTCCTTTTCTCTCTTTTTTTTTTTTTTTTTTTTTTTTTTTTTTTTTTTTTTGTCTTCACAGTAGGACAAAATCTTCTTTTTTCATTAGGACTCTGAAGCAATTAAAAAAATTCTGCTTCCTATTCTTCTGCACAAAAGCTTTGACCAGGGGAGTCTCAAAGACTGAGACTTCAGTTTGTTACCATTCCACTTCTCACATACTTCCAAAGTAAAAGACTATCTGTAGCTCTCAATTGTACTACTAGAGAAAAAATGGTTAGAAGAACCTCATGTTTGTAGAACAGGAAACGAGAAGACAGCAGGGCAATACTTTCTCTAATTAACAATATTTTGTAAAACCAAAGTGAACTTGTTAAGGATGGGATGGGACTGTGCTTACAGAAGCAGAACAGGATATACCTTTTAGCTAGTGCCTCCTGTAAAATAATTCACGAGTACATACTAAATCTTTCAAAATTTCAAGACATTTTAAAAATAATTCTGCTGAGTAATTTTGGCTCAGTATCCAAACTCTTCAAATTCAATAACTGAATGTGGGATTTCCTTACTTTTTCTTACAGAAACACACTGTCCCAGTAAAACAGCAGGTTCAGTGAAAAGGAAAAGTACAAAGCTCAAAAAATGACATATGTCCTCATGAAGAATTTCCACCACTGGAGTGCACTTCAAGACAAGAACTCAGGACCATAATTAGACAAGTATCATGACAACATTCAAGAAGAAAGAAACTCCACCTAGAAATGTTTAGGATACCTTATACTTCAAGAGAAGACAGTGTGATTGAATAAAATATCATTATTTTAAAAAGGAAAATTATTTTGTAGAAATACTTTCAAGATTCAGACTTGAGGCTCAGTAAGAATAGTGTCTTTGGAAAGGCAAAACCTTGTAGTCAAGAAAAATGTCCACAATTTTTATTTATCAGAATATATTTTATTGCCAACGAGTACAAAATTGATGCTGTCATCCCCTGAAGTCTCATTTTAAAGATAAAGCTTCTCCTTCACCACTTTTAAAGACTTGTAAATATAGTAATTAGTAATGAAGAAAAAAAAAAGCAACAAAAAGAAAAATTGCAACAATAAATTAAAAGAAAGAAAAGGCAAGGAGGAGAGAGGCAGACAACTTTTTGAGGAGGAAATGTGTTAGAAGAAACAAAATAGTTCTGAAGTGGAATCAAAATATAATAGTATATTTTTCTTCCAAGAGAAGTTTGGATTTTTTGCATGTGAAATAAAATAGCAGCAAAGAAAAAGGATAAATACAAGTGCATGAATGTCCCACTGGAACTTGCTTTTATTAACCAAAACAGTAGTACTCATCTGAATCAATTTTGGGATGCTTATGTGAGTCTTCCATAATAGAAGAATCACTGAACTGGTCTACATCAGATGGTGTTTGGTGACCAGGAACATCATCAACTAAAGTGTCCAAGTAACTTCCCACTGATATTCCATCCAGACCATCACTACAGTCCTGTAAACTGCTACAGCTGCCATGGAAGGATGTGTCCTGACTTTCCAATAAGCTGCACAGGCTGCCACTCAAACTGCTCCCTCTGCTGGCAATGCCTTTCTCTTCAATCATCCACTTGATTGATTCAATACTTTCATTGATGATGAGTAGTTGTCGCATAAGTTTCACATCAGTGGCACGGAGATTAATCTACAAAGCAAAAGTAATAAAAAAGATTACTGATTTTCTCTAAAATCGAACTCCAAACAACAAGCTGGAGGCAATAGATGGATTAAAATCTCACATTTGACATCTAAGACAAATCTATTTAAATACTCAGTTAAAAAAAAAAAAAAAAAAAAAAAAAGTATTTCTACACTTTCATAGAATCATAAAATCTCCAAAACTGGAAGAAACTCACAAAGATGAGTTCAGCTTGTTGCTCCACATAGGATCATGTAAAACATCAATTTTTCTGAGAGAGTTGTCTGCAAGTTTCTTGAACTCTGGAAGATTTGGTGCCATGACCATTGCCCTGGGGACCTATTCCAGTGTCCCACCACCTAATACTCAATCTGACTCTCCCTTTCAGTGAAGTTCAAGTGGGAATCTGATCAGACTATGTAAACAGTCCATTAATAGGAATGGTAATCAACAAGACTTGTACACATGCTACTACAATATTATTATTGGATGAAAAATATTTACTATGACAACTTCTGGGGATAACTTCTATTATTCAGAAAAGTGTAACATAAATCTGTGTCCATTTAAAACTACTTTCAACAACTGAGCAGATATAAGTAGCTAGGCATTTACCTCAGGTCCTTCTTGTTAAGCCTACTAGGGTAATCTAAAATTTTCAGATGTGAGTTATTTGGAAAAAGGTTTATGAATCCTTAACATTTATTCCTGCTGTACCATTGCTCATGTTGCAAGCTGCAGAACAAATTCCTGAGAGTAGAAACAGATGCGCTTGTTAAAACTGTAAAATTCAAATTATTTAAACTCATATTTGATGAAAGTTATTAGTCCACAAAGTCTGCAAGCGTGGCAATTTGTGCAAAATAACTAATTAAAATACACACTGAGTCCTACTTCACAGCTTAATTGTTGTGGTTGATGCATACAAATAGAAGTGCAATAGGTAAAGGATTAATGGTAATTCCTAATGCCTATATCATGTTAATGGTAAATGCATATTACAGTGCTGCATTTCTCAGATATAATAAATAAACCACCTTTATGCTTCTCTTATTAGACAAATTTAACAAGCCACTTTTACTGAAATTTCCACAATGAGATGACACATAAAATTGAGGCCTTAGTGTTTAATTAATAATTTATCTCTTCTTTGTTATCTGAAATAACCAGTGTTTGCAAAAGGTTTCTCTGGAATCTCCTATTCACCTCATGAAACAAGTGATAACACTGAAAAGGTAATCTAATAAACTGAAGATAATTCAGGTTTTGCCCATGTGGTCAAGTGTGGAAAGCCATAGGGTACTGCCATTGCTGGAGTGATCTGTGGAACAACTGCCCAGTCATACAAGGGAGTCTCAGCTAAATCCTGATAAGAAAACAGTGTTAGTCTGCAACCTTGCCAGTGCTGCTGCCCTTTGCAATAGCAGCTCAGAACTACTACTAAATGTCTGATGTATCAATAGAACCAAATCCTCAGTGAGATCTGGGCCTAGATAAACTTTTGCCACAGTATCAACATAGGGCATACTTGTTTAAAACCACTGGAAAAAGACTTGATGAATACATGGGACATCATGTCCAGCATGTAATTTGTGTCATATTTCATCATGTTCTTTAATTGTACTGATAAAGCACACTACATGCTTGATACATCAACAATTTAAGACATGTACTGAGTATACTTCTCTACATAAATCTGTGCCACAATCTCTAACACATTAACATGCACTAAATACTTCTCTTACATAGATCAATAACATCTTAGCTTTCCAACAACTCAAAAGACAAAACAGTATGTTGAAAATTTCATCAATAGTATGATCTTCTATGCCAGACAATAGGCACTTTACGATATTCTCCAATTACTACATAGAAGTCAAGCATTTGTATTGTTCATACACAATTGACTGGAATCGAATCAGAATTCTCAGGAAGAAATGGCAGTCTTTTTTCTGCCAAGAGTAAAATTTGGATGTGTTTTTTTACATACTCAAATGCCAGTTCTTCTCAATATCCCAAATTACACTGACACGATATGGTTTTCAAAAAAATATTAATGCATTTTTACTCTGTTAGACACAACAGAAGATTGCACAGGCTCTGGTTGGGATGCTTCAGAGTGCAGATACTGTATTTTAGCTCAGTGAACAAAATACAGAGTACCAATGTTTTAGCTATTGCTGAACAGTCCTTTTGCAGTGTCAAGACCTGCTCTATTTCTCACTGTCAAACAGGCTGGAGATTGACAAGAGGTTTGGAGGGGACAGTTGGAACACTAACCAGAAATAACCAAAGGGATATTCCAGGCCATATGGCTGCGCTCAGCAATAGAAGACTGGTTTGGTTTTCCCAATAGCTACTGCTTGAAAACTCTCTGTGCATCCATTTGCTAGCAGGAGATAATGAGTGATTACCTTCAAGCTTTGCTAGTACCAGACTGTCTGTATAATTTTCAGATGTGTTCCCGGTCGTCTTATCCAGTCCCTAAAAGACTTCTGTAGTAGCCTCACTCCAGTACCACAGAATTTAACATGCAAAATAGCTTTATCACTTACTGTTTTAACAATGATGTTCATCTATCACTGTTTCAGATGTGAGGTTTTGAAAAGAGATTGACCTTTTGTATCTCTCATTTTTAAGTCAGTTCTTCTACTCCTACCCATAAATCACTATAAATCATTTGTTCAGCAACAACGCTGTTGTGACAGCAGCAAATTACCCAGCTTCCCAACTGCAACTGTAGACTTCAGTAATTTTGTTGTATATAAGCATGTATGGAGACCACAATTTCCCGAAAGGATGATTAAAATGAAGTTTAATGGAGCTAACAGCAATACATCACCAATGAAACAACTACTTTTAGGTACGATGGACATCTCATAAGTTTCAGATTCAGTTGGCTTGATTCCTTCCTCCAAACTGACACTTAGTCCCAAGTCTCCTATACCAAGAGCGTACTTTTCCTAAAGCAAACACTAAAAAGAAGTCTGCAAGTGTCATCTTTCTTTAACAATGTTTTTCTCATCTATGACTTTTATTGCCTTCTGCTTTAGCCCAGGAATAATTACATAAGTTGGTGCTCAAACACACAGCTGCAACTTACTTGTCTGTTAGAGTTAATGAGTATGTTCCAAAAGGGGTCAATCAGAGGGTCTAAAAACAACACAATCTCATTACATTTGACAGCTTCATTCATTATGCACAGTAACAGGTGCACTTCAGAAATAATCTGAATGGATTGAATCACAGTTAATATAGGTATTCCAGAATAGTTTCCACAGAGTTTAAGGTAGAGCACAGCACCACTACAGGGAAGGTGCATATCTTAGCACACAGCAATAAGGATGCTTTGATAAGACAGAGAAAATCAAATTCTGGTTACAGGCTTGCTTATGTATCCTGTTGGTTAGTTTGGATAATTTCAATATACATATCTTAAATGTATAACATTGAATGGGTAGTCAGGGCAAGAAAAAAGACTGAAAATGAAAATGACCACAATGACCTTTTGGTTAACACGGTCTGGTAGCATAGACTGATTAGTACATAACAGATTAACATTCAGACACTATCAGACCTTCAGTGTGGAAGAGATATCTGGCCTGAACCACCTGTACATGTTTCATACAACTCTCCTCCACTGGTTGTTCTAATAAGAGACTGCTTCCTTTACACACATAGCCCTGCTTATGGTCCTCCATAATCAGAGGTGCAATACTGTGAGCATGTCACACATATGACTCCATTACACAGATGATTTATTTATATATGCATATATATATATCTACGAACACACGCGTGTGTGCACATACATATCTGTGTACACTCACACAGAAACATATAACACAGACATATACAATATTTCCATTATTTCTATGTGTACAGCGCTTTTCAGAAAGGATGTGAGGTTATCGATTTTAGTAAAAACTCATAATTAGGGCTGTTAACAAAAACTACTAACATCTCTTGGCAACTCCCCAGAACAACGCATTAGCTGTCCTAGTTTAGTCATTTTACCTTTGAATCAAAGTTGCACTTGCAACTTGGCAAAATGGATTTGTGTTTTCCAGCCATGTGTTCTGAAGGCATGGTTTTCAGTCAGCTCCACATACCATGAGTCTCCCTCACCTCCAAACCAAGAAAGCTAAAAAAATTCAATACAATGTGTCCTTTTAATCTCTCAAACCTCACTAGTTCACTTCCTTAGTTCGCTCTCTTTTAGATTCCTGGATTCATGCGCTTCTTTTTCTTCTTCTAACTACAGGAATTCTGCAGTGATACTAACAACAACTATAAATAGTGGTCTGAGGAAAAGATATTCCTAAGTTTATTTAAAAGATATTCCTTTCATTTTTCATTTTTTTTTTTTACTCAATGCCTTTATGCTGTGTGTTGCAATGAGTCCATCAATAAAGAGAAAGAAAATGAGCATGCTGATATAACCAAGTATTTCCTTCAGGACCAATCATTTAGAGCAACAGGCAATAAGTCACGGTAAGACAAGGAGTCGTAAACCTACAGTCTAATGAATTCAAGGAGTTATTTAAGTCATCTAGCTCAGATACCAAGCTCTGCACAGGATCCTTTGTAGGACTCAAACACCGATCAAGGACTGGACAGCATGGAATTCATATTTTTGAAGCAGTACAATTTTGGACAGATATCACACAGTAAAGTGGAACTGCATGAGAGCAGTCACTGCAGGCAGCTTGGTGGCCCAGAGCATGAGTAGACTTGTAGAAAGAATTAACACAATAGAAGGTCAGACTCAATGGGTACTGGAGCTAATTCCACCTGTTGTTAATACTGACACATCCATCTATATTGCAATTTTTACAAACAGAATTTAAACTAAGAGAGTCTTTCCATGCTTTCCAAAGGCCTTTATGACACTACAGTTCAGGAGTATTAGTGTTATTGCTACCTGACTTTCTGAGGGTATGCCACCTACAGCTTTCTGCTTTCCTATTCACTTTCCTGTGTCATTCAGGATAAAGTTTTAGTTA